CAAGCAGGAGAAACCCAGTTACAGGAACATGATTTGGTTTCGTGAGGAAGCCATGGATAAAATCCAATGCCTTTGCCATGGTTCCAGGAGAACATGCCATTTCTGCCCTAAGGACCAGTAGTAAGAAGGAACTTCAAAGTGATGCTGACCTTTAACCTGTCTCAAATCTTCTAGAGTTACTATTACTAGGCTATGAGCAATTTCCCTGTGAAATCATTTTTGTCTGAATTTCTCGAGTAGACTTGCTGTTAGATGATTTGGGGCTCCCATTTTCCCTCATGTTTTCAGGAGCATTAACCATCTTTGGAAGAAAACCATTGGACTGAAAAGGTACCATGATGGACTAGAGGTAAAACCCTGGCTTATGTGTACCTGGACTCTTTCCCCCAAAATCAGAGTTCTTTTTTGTTTTGTAAATAGACCATAAAATGTTTGGAGAGGCATTTGTTATGGTTTTCTCTTGTTACAAAAGTTGTTCACAAGAATATTACTATCTTATGTTCCTCCCTAAAGGTTGTTCCTGGGTCTAACTGAAAAGAACTCATTGTTTGGGAAGCCCATGAGGCTAAACTGTGCCTCAGTTCGCCCCTTACAATGGGAGGCCAGCGTAGACAAATGAAGACCAGAAGCATGTTACCAAATGCTCCTCTGCCTGTAGGGAAACCAGTCCTGAAATATGAAAATTTTTCCATGGAGGAAGGTGCCAGCTAAGGCTAAATTCTCTGGCATGCCTGGGTATTTTCTGCCAGAGCACCAGGTGTGCTTGAGGGGAAAGAAAACTCACCCCCAGCATGCTAGGATATGTTTCTATTTGGGCTCTTGATCCCATGACTCTATCTTTTATAGCTTTAAATTTTGTTTCATCCTATAGTTTTTCTTATGGTAATCAGTCTTCAACATCAGTTTATGTAAGCATTTAATGGCCTCTGCGTTTATCCATGGCTTCGCACACAACTTATTCCCATCGATTCTGTTCAGAAAACACTCAGGTACATGAGCCAGGCAAGAGCCACACCAAGCATGTCACTGCTGGGACGACACGTAACATCCAACATCTTACATGAGAAACACTTGGGAACGGCCTCTGCCATCACACATGTGGATACCTTCGTACAAAGATCATTCTTAACTGAGAAAAAGAAATACGTTGTAATTGGTTTATGTGCACATTTTATGATTCTTCATCACAGTGTAAAGAAGCCTCATTTTGTACTATCAGCCCATAACAGTGAACTTCCGCCCCCACGAGATTCCACAACCCACACAAAACAGAGCATGGAACCTGGCATGTGGCAGGGGTTCTAGAGGAAATTACTGAACAAATGTGTGACACACGGATCTATCCACATTCAAAAGGGATCCTCACCCCACCCTTTCTTTTAAGGATTGATTATGTGAAAAGGTTCTCTGCAAGAACAAAGAGCAAAGGGAGCCAAAGCCCACAGGTATCCTTGGCTGGTTCTCAGTGAGGACTTCAGTCCAGGTGTGTCCTGGCTGCCCATGGGCCGGTCACCTGGAGACTGACCAGCCACCTTTTCAGTGCCAAGGAGCAGGGTGGAATAAAGATAATATTGTTAAAATGGCAATTTAATGAAATGAAAGCATCATACCAAGAACGCTCAAATTACTAGGTTCAGATAACTCAACTGTCATAAGCCAGCCCAAGGCATGAGCATTCTGAAGCCCATCCATCAGAAAAGCAATATGATAGCCAAGTTGAGTTGATTCCTTCCATAGATAAGTAGCTGAGGACCTCATTTGTTCAAAGTTTCGAAGCAACAGGCTGGAGGGCAATAAACATCCTACACTCAGGACACCACTTCCCCTGACGCCACACTGGGACCTCTCGTGACAGAGAGGGAGATTTGGCTCTGCTGGGCTGGACACTTTGCCACGTGTGGGTCTGCCCTGGATTCTCAGCTCAGGAACTTTGGTAAAAGGACCCACAGGAGTTCAGGCAGGGGTCAGGACTTCGTAAAATTGGGCAAAAATCCAGCATTTGATTCCGTTTTATCTTTCTGGTGTGGAGTTTCTCTTTGATATCCACCCGGAAGGGTGATAAGGCATTCCTCCTTCCCTCATTCTTTAGAGGCGAGCAGAGATGAAAGTTACCTTCCTATCTAAACTGATAGGCCTGGTGAATCCACCCACTCAGCTGCGCTTGGCGTCACCAAGATGCCTCTTGACCTGGGGTCTTTCTGTGATTTCCATGCTGGGTCTTGCAAGGATATGTTTCCCCTTCAGCCTGAAGTGTCCTCCTGCTACCCCCACTATCAACTGATTTCTACTTGTCCTTTAGTGCTGGGGGCCACCCTCATCTTTTGGAGGCCAAGTCTGGTGCCCCACCAGAACTTGGGGTCCCACAACATGCCTGCTGGGCTGCCTCCACCTCATGCTTACATAGGCTAATGCTGTCTGTTTGCCCGGGGGTCTCCTCCCTCAACTGTACCTGAGGTGGGGACAATAACTTATTTCTGTATACCTGCTGGTTAAAATGTAGTCATGCTGCATAAATAATCATTGCGTGAATGGGCTTGGGGGTAACCATTTGTATCTCTAAGTGCATTCCAATATGTCAGACCATGATGACAGGTTTGTGTTGAATGAAACTATACTAGAAAGGCAGCCAGTGACTCAATTCATGTGCAAACGAGTACTGCAGGCAGATTTTCAATATATAGAATCCATATTGATATGGGATCACGTTCAAAGACTCCAGCTGTGAGGATTTGAAAAAAACAAAAACAAAAACAAAAAACTGCTGTGTACCTTAAAATGAATGTGTGACAACTGGCAATCACTCAGAATGGCAGTTCAGGCAGGTGAAGCGAACGTGTGCTTATTTTTGTCTGAAGGTTTGGTAAGGCTTCTGTGCCTTGGCAGCTGGAAGGACACATGCTAGGCTGCAAGCCAGGGTTGGGGGAGTTACCCAAGGAGGCTTCAGTATGGTCTATCCTTCCATGAGGGACTCACTGTCATGGCCATAGGGGTCTGACCTCACATTCTAGACAGGGATGTGGCCCAGGTTGGGGTGGATGGAGAAGGGAAAGGGGTGGGCAGGAGAGGAGGATGTTACTGTGGTCAGATGAATGGGTCTGCCTGGGCCAAATCAAGGGCTGGCATACAGATCAGAGTCTGGGCAAAGGAAGACCACTTTTGACCTTAATCTGGGTTATCTGAGAAGTGAGATCCTATGCTAGATGTGTGGTAGAACTTTCCTTTGTGTTCTACATACAGAGTTGCCCAGGGTTGGGGATGGGGGTGGGCCTGGCTGTACCTGACTTGTCTTCTACAGAATCACACACTTGTAGTCAGTTCTCTTTATGGGAGCTCAGTACAATGTTCAATTTAATAAACGAAGGGTTCTAATGCTTCTATTAAAAAAGAAAAGCCAACAATAAGTAGTAACCCTTCACCAACTGCAGGAGTTTTGCTCCTAAATGTTGAATCAGCTGCAATAGGCAAGGTCAAATTCTCACAGGAGCCCAGGAGCTGGGGTACCAATAGAGAAAATGGCATCAAGTATGCCAAAATGAATAGCAGAAATGGGCAATTCTCTGGAGCCGTGCTGTCCAGGAGAACCTTCTGGGATGCTGGGAATATTCTCTGCCAGTGCTGCCCAACACAGGAGCTGCTGGCCGTGTGCGGCAACAGAGTTCTCAAAATTTGCCCAGTGAGACGGAAAGATGAACTTTTAAGTTGGTTTCATTTTAATGAATTACAGTTTGGATCATCTCCAGGGGCCAGCGGCTGCTGAACTGGACAGTGCAGCTCTGGAGGCCACTTTCCCCCAAACCAACCTGCTCCTGCCTCTCCTTTCTCTGTTGACGTGGCAGGCACAGATTCTCACACTAAGCTCTGTGCCTTGTTGACTAGCTATCTGCCTTTAAAATCCACCTGAAATTTCATTTTTAAATTTCATTTTGCATTTGCATTTTCCTCTGGTTTTGCTTTCACAGGGTGCTGCAAAATATTGGTGCAGTAGGTTGCCTTTCCCACGGGCATCTAGAAGGAACGTTTCTTCCAGACCAGGTTTCCTATCCACACAGAGAAAAGCAGAGAGGAGAGCACGCCTCACCTTACGGGGCTGTTCTGTGGGACAGGGAGGCATAAATGTGGTTCTGTTCTCTTGTCAGGTGGAAATGAACTGAAAAGCTTCTATGCAAAGCAACTTGTGGAAATTAAAATAAGTTTCTCAGCTCCTTCCTCCCAACACAAGTTCTCCTGGTGATGGGGGGTGAGTGGACACTCGCTAAGGCTGCCAGAGCTCCCTCCCCAGTGGCTCATCTGCCTTGTGCTCCCCTCACTAGGTGTCAACCACAGACGCTTTCCTAAACATTGTCCTCCAGGATGGGAGATCAGAAAGTCGTGTCCCATGTAGGACAAAGCAGCCTGCAGCTGCAAAAAGCATGCTAGCAGAAAGATGAAGGCGGCCCATCAACCAAATCTGGCATCCCTCTCTAGGGACAGTGCTGAGGGATGTCTGTGCCTGGGGACCAGGAGGCTCGGGTACTCCGGAGTCATAGTTGGCAGTGGCACCTGAGACTTTCCAGACTGTACGGCTTCATGCATGTTTTAGAAATGTAAGTGCTATCTTACTTTTACTAACAGAAAATTCAGACACAGAGCAAACGTCTTCCAACGACAGGTAAAATGATTTGGCAAGTGTCTTTACCACCTTCTCTGCCTGCACATCAGAAGGAGGGCTGCCAGGAAGTGCTGAGCTCCTGGCACAGGGCAGTTACCACTGATTCACAGACCTCGGGCTAAGTGGGGAGCTGTTTCCGTTCATGGCAAACTACTCACTACTAGCAACTTGAAGGCATCATTCTTGCTCAAATGTCCTTCCTTGCTTTTCAGAAATGAAACTGAAGTTCCAGGTCACCTATCCACTACCGTCTAGCCCTTAAATATGAATTGTAGGGAAGATTGCAATCAGTAGCTGTAGGCAAAGGACACAAAACACTGTAGCCACAGCAGCCCTCTGGGCCAGCACTCACCTGTCCCCCGGGCGTGGCTGAAGTCACCCTTCACCACGTGGCAGGTCTTGCCGTCTCCGTTGCAGACCCCGCATCTGTCTTCTTTAGCCGCAGACCCAATGATGCCATCACAGCCGATTTTCTAAAGAACCAGAAGGCCTCGTTATTCCGTGGTTAAGACTCAGAGGGATTTTAAAGAGGCTGCCCTGAAAGGCTAACTTTTCCATGAGGTGCAGCAGGCATGGGGCCTGGGGCCCTGATCCATTCAGAGGCCCAAGAAAATATTTTAATTCAGGAGAGAAAAAAAAAATGCACAGAATCCAACCTGGATTATATTTGTCTTTATACCCACATAGTTGTCAAGTGTATTTTTTTGGTATTTGTTCTGGAGGAGGGAGACCCATGAAGGCACAAGTGCCCATGGAGGTCACACTGAGGTCTGATGCCCTGACTGCCTGGAGGCAGAGACCCTGGGAAGGGAGTGAAGCCTGAACGCTCACACCAGCTGGTGCAGCCACAATTTCTCATGATGGGGCTTCCCCTCTGGGCTGTGGAGGTCGCCTGTAACTTGGCTGAAACAGCCAGTAGTCTTAGAACATACAACGGAAACCACAGACTTTTCTAACAAGGTAGGGATGCCCACAGCTCATTCAGGCAGGGCTGGGCATGGGCCCCCCTTTTCTCAGGTAGGGAGAGCTAGTCTATGAAGAGCCCTATCTCTCAAACCTTTTTAACAAGGCACGTCTGAGAGCAGAGGAGAGGCTGCCTCTACCCTAGGTGGGCCTGAGAAGCACAGCCTGTTTTCTAAAAAGCAGAGAAAGGTTTTGGACTCCTTTTTTCTTTTTTTAAAAAGTGAGAATTTTGTATTCTGCAAAATAACCTAAATTTATACTAAACAGTGGGTATTTATTTACTAGCTAGATTGCCTAAATGTCCCTCCACATTTTCCCCCTATAAAGCTAATGCTTTCAGAACAAGAACTGGGTTTTTCCTACTGCCTTTCACCCCAGATTACATATTGGCACTTCAGACTCCAAAGGAATCTACAGCCAGAAATCAAGATCCAAGATAATCCTGGTGGAGGTGATTTAGTCCTTTCCCATGATGCCTGGACAAGAAGCAGCACCGTGCTTCCCCCTCACAGGCACTCCTACCTGCAGGCAGGGCTTGGAGCAAGCACAGCACCTGGGGTGCCAGGCTGACTGCACGCGGATCCCTGGAGGCAAGTGCCTGGCCCACAACTCCCCAAAGACATCAGCATCCTCTGTTCATTATGGCAGCCGTTCTCCTACTTAAGTGTGCATCGGCCTCACGGGGAGGGCTGTTAAAACACAAACTGCTATGTCCTGGCCCTAGAGTTTCTCACCCAGCAGGTCTGGGTGCACCTGAGAATGTGCATTTCTAATCGGCTCCCAGGAGATGCTGAGGCTGCTTGCTGGCGGCCATGCGATGAGAATCGCTGCACTATGGCATGCTACTCAAAGGAATAGGCGAATACTCTTCATATTTAGTAACCCTCAAGTCTCATCCTTGGAGCCTTTTATTTTTTTGAAAAAGATTTAATGGGAAATCACTACTGTTCTGTCCAAAAATGATAGCACAATTGGATAGATTCCAGGGAAGACTTTAAGATGTTCTAAAAGCTGAGTGAGTTGAGTCTAAAAATTACCATGATGAAATCTGAAAAAGGGCAGAACTTGAATAAAAGATCAAACTTGTTCAAAGTTAGTATAAAAAGAGGAAAAGGTAAAATCGAAGGCTTTAGTGACCAGAGGACAGCAAGAAGCAAATGGAGAAGAGTGGGCTTAATGGTGGCTGGGGAGATGTAGGTAACACATCAAGACACAGATGGTAACTGGCAACCAACTGCAATGCTTTGCCAGGGCAGACCATCCAGTAGCGACCTGGAGGGAAGCCAGCTGTGATGAGGCACCGTCAGCCTAGAGCATGGTGCAGGGCTGCCTGGATTCTTGATGTGGACTGCTAGCCAGCTGCTATCAAGTTGCTCAGTATAAAGATTACAGGGGCTGGCTGGGCACGGTGGCTCACGCCTGTAATTCCAGCACTTTGGGAGGCTGAGGTGGGTGGATCACAAGGTCAGGAGTTCAAGACCAGCCTGGCCAACACGGTGAAACCCCATCTCTACTAAAAATACAAAAATTAGCTAGGCATGGTGGCACACACCTGTCGTCCCAGCTACTCGGGAGGCTGGCAGGAGAGTAGTTTGAACCTGGGAGGCGGAGTTTGCAGTGAGCTGAGATCGTACCACTGCACTCCAGCCTGGGCAACAGAGCAAGAGTTCGTCTCAAAAAAAAAAAAAAAAAAAAAAAAAAAATTTATAGAGGCTAAGAATATATAGGGCTAAGAGTAGCCAAGATCAGAAAATGTCCCTTAGCATTGTTTAACAAATGCCCAGACCAGATCCGTGCAACCACGTGTCTGTTGCTTTGTTTCACTTCAGAGCTCCAGTGCATGGTCTCCATACTTGCTTCTGGTAGGGCCACAGGGCTAATGCCCACAGAGCTGGTCTCTCCTGCTGGCCTCTTTACTGGCACCTGTTCTGGCTCCCACCTGGGCTTTCTCATCTCAGGTGCTCTCTGCTGTAGACCTTCCCTACACTGGCTTCCTATAATTTTCAAACCACACCCTTGCTTGGTAGGAGTGAGTCTCTGGCTTCAGGCCTGGTTCCTTGTCCTGCACCTGAGTTAAGGTTTCCTGATTCAACAGCTTCTAGATGCCCCATTTGGTCCAGTTTCCCTTAGCCCCAAAGAAGGGCGTTTTTCAGGTCAGGTGCAAACAGGAATGCATACAGGGTTACCCTTTCAGTTAATCCTGGAGACCATCCAGGGGCTGGGACAGGTCCATGGGTTCTGCCCACTCTACCTGGTGTTATTTCAGAGGCTGTCTGCATCTGGAGGCAGGGAATGCAGGGATGTCCGTGGCTGAAGAGCAGTGAGTCTAAGAGCTGATGGGCGACAGCCACAAAATCTGCCAACGAGGGCATTTTCTTCCATTGTTTCAGTCAGCGCAAGCAACTTATAACTTTGGCAGAAACTGGGATGGTTTTCAAAGGGCAGCTGCTATAGGACACAACTGAAGTCATTAATTCTGAACATTAGGGGAGCTTTGATGATTGTATTTATGAGGCTTGGTGTTCCAAGAGAACAACAAGACCCAGCCCGAGGAAACTCCAGGCAATAAACCCTCTCAAGTCTTCCCATGTTATCCTGGTGATCCTTAGTTACTTTCCTAGGAATCTTCATCACTCATTTCTCAGCTTTCAAAGCAGGCCTTCAAGTTCCTGGCCAGCATTTGCTGGTCACGCCCTGTACTGCCGGCTAAATCAGGGTGTGTGTGACACCAAAGGACCAAGGGACCAATGCCCCACTGCATAATTAAAGGCATGGGATGGGATGGTATGGGATGGAATGGTGGGAAAAGCACAAGTTCTTTACTGGTCAACACAGCTCCTGTGAAACATGCAAAAAAAAAACATGGAAAAGCTTTAGTGCTCAGATCCGGGTGCTGAGGAGGGCACAGGATGAGCCGTGGACAGTGGGAAATGTCCATCTTTGGCTGTCTGAGTCCTGGATTCCACCCTGGAACTTTGCCCCTGTTGAAGACAACCAGTGACAACAGCCTCCTGGTCATCACACCTAGTAGACGTGTCTCCAGCCTCATCTTTCACCTCTTGCTCTCAGCATCCGCTGTGTTTAACACCCACCCTGTCTTTGTTGTACATGTATTTATTCATCCATGGTGCCTGTGCCTAACCTGGGAATAAAGACATGTAAGGTGGAGGGAGGCACCAGTGTAGAAACAAGCAGACACCTCAGAGCGTGTGCCTGAAGACGCCCCAGAGGCCAAGGATGGCTCCTTTCTGATTCTCTTCCCAGCCCCTGGATGACTCCTCCCTCCTCTTGCTTCTTTGACTCCCTGAAAGTAGGTAGCTTCCCGGGGGCTCCCTGCTCCTTCTGCTTTTTTGCTTTCTTAGTAATTTCACCTTCTCCTTATTTCAGCCATCACTCTCATGCAGAGAGCTCTTAAACCCACTTCTCCCCTCACTCCACCCTAGCTCTCACTACTAAGCCTCTGCTGAGCAACCTCTCCAGACTTTCAATGCAACAACTTCTCCTCCAAAGCTGCCTGACTTCTTAATTCTAGTTGGACACCCCCTGCCACTGTCTTGGAACTGACAGACAGGTATCCTAGCCTGAAACCTCCAAGCCATTTCTGACTTTTCTATTTTGGGATGTACCCAGTTAGGTGGTGAGCTTGGGTTTTTTGTTCCCTGAAAACCTCTATTGCCTACTTCTCCTCCATGTTCTCCTCCACTCCCTAGTTTACACCCTCCTTACTGAGGACATGAACTATGGGAACATTTTTCTCCTGCCTGCAGCCAGACTAATTTCCACACGATAAAAGAGATAAGATCTGTGGCCACAGATCCCCACTGCCTATCAGAAATGTTCATACATATGAATTTAAGACCCTTCATGATCTCATCTCAGCTGCTCACCAACTCAACCTCCCTTCTTCCCCCTCCAGATGCACAGTGAATCCAACCCCCTCCAGCCCACTCTTGCGGGCCCTCCCCCTCAATGACCCCTCAGCCAGGTGGGCGACCGGAATAGCCCTTAACTCATTTCCTTGGATCTACTTGAATCAGTTATCCATAACCAAGATCACTTCACTCCTCTGCATCAATTCTGCCTGGGCCCTGGCTCCTTTGTGCCAGCCCCCGCCCTCCTCTGTTGCTGGAATGCACCCGTCTCCCTCTTGCTTCCCTCTGCCTGGAGCTCTTTGCCCCCCACTCTCTGTCAGGCTGGCTCTTCCTCAAAGGCTGTCTCCTCTAAGAGTCCTGCCATGCCACCTGCTCACTGTCCTCCTCAGCCACAGTCCCCCACTGGGTCTCTCTATGGTGCTATTTTCCTTTCTTCTTCACACATACCAATCTCTGGAATGATCATGTTTGTGACCTGACATGGTCTGTCCGTATGTTGGACAGCGACAGGGATCCTCTTGGTCCTGCTCCCCAATGAAAGCCCAGCACACACTATGGTGTGCAGCACTCGGAATGTGATCAACAAATACCTGATGCAGGAATAAACGAAATTCCACCCTATGTGTTTTCTGCTATGT